TTTCCCTTTTCCTTTTATTTCAATTGGAGGGTATATAGGTCATTTTAAGTTAAAAATTAGGGAAAAGGACGTTTTGCGCAAGAAAATGCATAGGTAGGGACGTTCTGCACCAAAAAATCAAACGTAGGGACGTTTTCCACACAACCCGCCATAGGTAGGGACGTTTTGCGCCAATAACCCTAAAAAAATTTAGGATAATTTAATAAAATAAAAAATTAGTGGATGAATTTAAAATTATGTATTTTTATTTAATTTATATCTATTTAAGTAAACTTACATAGAATTTACATCCCGTCTGAGCCCCTTTTTTGGTGTAGAATGCATTTTGGAATAGTAGAATGATAGATAATGGGTGGTTAAAAATGAAAGAAAAATTTTTTGGTTGTGTGTGAAATTTTTTTATTGAAAAATGTGGGATTGAAAAGAAGAGACGGAAAAATGCATTTTGAAAAAAATTGGGATCAAACAATGGCTTAAAATATAATAAAATTTTATTTTTAAAAATTGATGTACATATAAAAAGTGTGGATGAAAATAGCGATACTCTTATTTTATGAAAAGAAAAAAGTTTTCAAAAGTTTAGTTAGCCCTTATAATTCATTCTTTCAAAATTAATTTTTTTTAAAATTTATTTTCAATCGAGATAAGCCATTTTATCAGATGATTTTGCTCACCTATTTAATAGATATAGTGTTGGAAGCAGATGATTGAATATAAAAACTGGCTATTTTTTGAACAATTCAATGCCATGTAGTATGATTTCTTTCAATCACATATTCATGTAATAAAATATTTTACATGAACAAAAAAAATAAAATCTTACTTTTTAATAACAAATTATCTAAAAAATCACTATTTTAAAATTCATTTTCTCCAAAAATTCTTTTTAACCCCAGTTTGGACTCCATTATTTCCAAATACTTTCTTTTAAAAATTCATTTTCAACCACACATTTTTCTATAAAATAATATTACACGTAAATATAAAATATTTTCTTATCTTTTAACCACACATTCTCCAAAAAATCACTATTCCAAAATATAGTTTCTCCCAAAATTATATTAAAATGGAGCCCAAACAGGTTAATGTGGGCAAAACTTCCAAATCAAATTGAGACTCAAACCAAATCGAGTAGTTCTTCTTAAGTTAAATACTTGAACGGGTATCAGAATCTAGAATCAACGGGTTTGGTTTGGTTTGGTTCGATTCTCAATTCTAAATCAAGAACCGAATAACCGAATTCACCTAATTTTTTTTATGTTAAACGAGCCAAGTTATTTTAATTTTTTTCTTGTTTCATTACTCAACTAATTAATTGGGTCATTGAATATTATTTTCTTGTTTCATTTGCCAACTAATTAATTGAGTCCAAAATACCATGTTTCCTATCTTCAGTCTAAATCCAACTTTGTAATTCAAATTTCAAAGAATCAAAATTGAATGATTTAAGTTTTTCTCAATCATTCTGTCATTTCTCAAATAATCGAAGTAGAGCAGCCGCGACTCTCTTCATCTTACCATTTTTGCCTTATTTATCGAATTTCCTCTACTTTGATCAATGTAATTTTTATACTTTGGTGAATGAATCTTACTAGAATAATTGTTATTTGTATATTTTTAAATTGAACTATATTATTTTTTAAGTGTTTGTAGTGTTGTTGCAAGAGTTAAGATTGAATCTAACATTAATTTGGCTTAATGTAATATTGTTGTAAATGTTAAAAATTTTAATTATGGTATGGAACGGAATTGAACGTTTTCATAATTAAATTTTGATTTGGGGGTTCCACTTAATAATTATTCGAAAATTTTGTTTCCATATCGATTCTCTTTAGAATTGAACCAAATTGGATCATATCCAGCCTTAGGTTATGTTTGTCAAACATGGGCTTATAAGGAAATAAGTAGATTTTAAATAGTAATTTTGCATTAGTCAAATTTGAAAAAAAAAATTATCTGACAATCATAGACGAGTTATTTAAATTATGCCCTTGTTTGATTCTCATTATTTTTAAAATACATTTTTCCATTTTTTCTTTTCAACCACACGTTTTTCAACAAAATAATATTAAACACAATTCAAAACTTTATATTACTTTTTAACCGCACAGTCTCCATCAAACACTATTCAAAAATGCATTATTTTCAAAATAATGGGCTCAAGTAAGCCCTAAATTTAATACGGCGAATTTTAGTATTTAGATTTTAACATATTCAAGGTAATAATTAGAAGAGTCGAATTAGGATGTTTGGTCATGTATATGATTTTTTATCCGCACATTTAAAGAAATTCACAAGTACTATAATTATTCATCATTTCTTTCTATTTATTTAGAATTTAAATTATTTTAAAAACTTCCCAAACATGTCCTATAAGCAAGTGACGGCTTGTGTAGAAAATATATTTTTTTTTCCCTAGGGAACTCTATAATTGCAAGTCATTCTAACTTTTATTTATTTATTTATTTATTTTAACATTTTTTTAATATAAAAAGCTTGGTTCGACTCTAGTTGGTAATTCTTGACTCGTTTAACAATTCTTTACACCGTCAAACTGGCTCTCAATTTTCTAGTCGAACCTGTCACTTCGATCTAATTTTTTAGAGCATTGATAAATTATTTAAGGTGCCCGGTTGGTGGAAATTACTCCCAGTTGGGCAAGAAGCAAACCACTAGTGGTCCAAGAGTGGTGGGAAAGAATCAGTTTTGCTGCTCTCCAATAGTTTATTGATGTCCATTTAAATCGAATATTGACGCTTGTGGTTACGCATAGAATTGAAACTTATAATCTTCTTGTTGAATTACATCTGTGAATTCTACTAATGATTTGAATGGATAAGCAAATTGCAGTTATTAGTATGTTTCTTCTAAGATCTTGTAAGTTGAGATTTTTGTTCTTGTTTCCTTTGCTGAATTTTCATTTTTATTCTTCACATTGTCCGTTAAATACTTATCGTGTTAACGTTCTTATGTATTATTATACATATCATATAGTAGGAGTAATGCTGCTTTCTGTCTCCTTATCGTTTAACACAGTATCAAAAACAAAAAGCAAATGCTACTGATTTCGCCCTGTTGAATAAAAGTTGGAGGCAGCCTGATAACATGCTGGTGACTTATTTCATCCGGTCCTGGTTCATTAATGAGAGAAGTCAAAGGTGTTATATACAACTGTATGAAGACTAGTGAGATGCACGTGCAATGCACATGCTACCAGTGTAGTTGGCTACTTAATAGTATGGTTGTGAAAGATTAATGAAACCAACATCAATGAAACACCAAAAGATAGATTTCATCTACATGTGAAATAGCATTACACTTAAAACCTTATTTTATTCATCAAAAGGTATCATGTTTATCATGTGAACAATGCGTGCAAACAAAGAAAACCATGGAACACATGTCATACAAGTGCCATAGTATAATTGGCTATATGATAGTGCAAATATTTAAAAAAAAAGTTTATTTATCTCGAGCATTAGTTACATTAAACTTACAACACTTGAAATGATAATAGAT